ACTCTGTCTCAAATAAGGAGATATACTTCACTATTTCATCCTTTTCATTTAAGTTTTTTCCACTCAAAGCAGCAAATAAGCAAAAACTATTCTAACAATATAAAAGATTTTGAATTAAAGATAAGAAAAAAATCTCCCTTCTCTGTAAATACATCTATTCAGAATTCATTAGGTTGCATAATTTTAGCTTCAGCTTGTTCAATTTCTGGAAGAAATTAATCTCTTTAGAGCATTTCACTATCTGAGCTTTGATTAGTTAATCATTTAAATGGTTGACAGAGTAATCAGCTAATAAGATAATCTTTAATCAGGGCAGTTTGTTAAATATTATTATAACTTTATGTATTGATTTTTTTCTTTTTGCTGGGAGATATCTTATAGGGAAAATGCTTCAAACTCAGAGAATTCAATATTCTTCTATGAAGATTTCATATGACATTTTAAGTGCATTAACTGTAGTCTGTTGCCCGATTATGAACCCTGATCAAAATATAATAACTCTTTAATCACCTGCTGATGGTACATAATAGCTAATGTTGGAGAAACATAAAGAAATTCAGTGCTTAAACCTTGACTGTTTTTAAAGTTGGGAAGAATAGATGCATGGAAATGGTTTGTAGGAAACTCTACAAAAACTACATAACTCTGGTGTTTAAAAAATATCCTGAAAAAGATTAAAATGGTGAAGATGAGAGAGGACCGACACCTATTAAGATATTCATATCCCCGGCAGGTTTGAGATTAAAGTATATTTTGAGTTTAACCTCCATTTCAACCTGTAGAGACATTTATAGAAAACATTGCTATTTAAGGGCTGAACGGTCTGCTGGCCCTACCCACTACGTGGTTTGGGACGGCCCTAGTGTTTAAGGGCTGGTTCGGGACTCTGAACTTCATATCTCTTATTGCCCCCAGTAGCGCCAACATTTCTGTACGGTTTTTCATCTATAGTCTTTGAATAAAGCAAAGAAAGGGGTTTAAAGACTTGAAGTTCCTCGCCAAAAATAAATCTTAAAAATACTATCTGGTATCCTGGCTCCCTCCTGAAGAGAAGCAACAATAGTTGTGTTACATAAAGAGGGAAAGGATCCTACCAAATGTGAATCATATAGGCCAATATCTCTTTTGAATACAGACCTACGCATATTAACATCTATATTAGCAAGGCGGGTTAATAAAATCATAACAAATATTGTCCACCCAGATCAGACTGGGTTTATTATTGGGAGATATTATGGTGATAATATTAGAAGATTGTTAAATTTGATGACCCATCCAGATGCTAAAGGAAAGGAAGCAATGCTACTATCATTAGATGCCCAGAAAGCGTTCGATAGAGTATCCTGGCAATACCTTTTTCAGACACTGAAACGTTTCCAATTTGGCCCCAAATTTATTAGGTGGATACAAATTCTATACTCCAACCCACAAGCCGCTGTTAAAGTGAACGGTTTTTTAGCAGATCGATATTCCCTGGAGCGAGGATGTAGGCAAGGTTGTTCTCTTTCACCTCTACTATTTGATTTGAGTATTGAACCACTGGCACAGCTTATTAGGGACAATAATAACATTAAGGGACTCACAATAAGTGGAGAACAACACAAACTATCATTATATGCAGACGATGTACTTCTTTACCTCACTGATCCTACAGTAACAATCCCACATATAAAACACATTATTTCCACATTTGGGTATTTCTCAGGATATAAAGTTAATATAGAAAAAACAACAGCCATGGATATAGGGAATAGAATCTCTCACACATTCAAGGCCGAGAGTGGTTTCAAATGGCCAAAAGAAGGAATTAAATATTTGGGTATCATAATCCCCCCACTGTTAGGAAACCTATTTGATGTGAATTACACAACCTTAATTCAAAACATTAGTAAGGAGCTGGACAGATGGTCGACCCTTCCCTTATCCATGATAGGCCGTGTCGAATGTATACGAATGAATGTATTACCTAAATTACTTTACCCTTTCCAGATGCTTCCTGTAGACATCCCTAAATCTACATTTGATAAATTAGACAAGTTGATTACAAAGTTCATATGGCAATCAAAACGCCCGAGGGTCAGACTAAAGGTACTTCAGTTGTCCAAATCACATGGAGGTCTTAAACTTCCAAACTTTAGATTGTATTTTTGGGCTGCGCAGCTTAGACCTCTAATAGCATGGCTGCAAGAACCTATACACACAAGATGGCTAAATATTGAGAAAGGCACATGCAAATGGCCCTTACAGACCCTCCTTTTTTCGGATACCCCGCTTAGGGAGATTCATATGAGCGAATGGACTAGGACCACACTGAAAATTTGGAGGAAAATAAAGATAACTTATGGACTGCCTAAATCAATCTCAGCACTAACCAACATTGGTCTTATAAATGATTTTGTTCCCTCACAGATGGACCCAGGATTCAGAAATTGGTCAAAACGAGGCCTTATAAATCTACACCAACTTCACAAAGATGGGAGTCTTAAATCATTTGAACAATTAAGAGTGGAATTTACACTCCCCAATACAGATTTTTTTTTAGGTATTTACAACTAAGGGACTTTTTAACAAAACACAGAGAGCGGACTAAAATCCTAGAGCCCACTAAAATTGAAGAATTCCTGATAAATCTGCAAACAGGTAGAGGGAATAAGAGAATTATTAGCCATTTATACAAGTTATTTATAGATATGGATCCAAACAAAACTCTACAGACCAAAGAAAGATGGGAAAGCGAAATGAACATAGATATACAGCAAGACAAGTGGGAAGAAATATGTACTACGGCGCATCAAGTCACTAACTCTAATACATGGCGAGAATTTAGGTGGAAGATAATAATACGTTTTTTCAGGACACCAGCAGTCATATCTAAAATGGGGTCCATACACTCAGATAAATGCTGGAGAAATTGTGGGTCACACATCGGCAACCATACCCATATATTCTGGACATGTCCTAAATTGGAATAAATTTTGGGACGAGATATTCGAGGCCCTCAGAAAAGTATTTCAGAAAACCTTTAACAAAGACCCTGAGATGGTACTTTTTGGATTATTACCAAAACACGTTACTGGAAGAGGAAAAAAGTACCTTCTACAAATATTACTGATTGCAGCTCTTAAATGCATCACAGTTAAGTGGTTGAAGCCTGATCCGCCAACATACAAAATATGGATTGAAAAGGTCTGGGAAATCTATTATATGGAACAAATAACTTATCGCCTGAGGCTTCAAAAAGACATATTTGTTAATAGGTGGAAACCGGCCATGACCATATTAATGCAGTAAAACTTTTTTTTTATTTAATTTGATTTTTTTTTATTATTATCATTTTTTCTTTCTTTCATTCTATTCTTTTCAATTTCTATTGTATTTTTTTTTTTTATATTTAGGGGAGAGTGGGGTAAGATGAGCCATTTTTTACTTATGTTGTTCTGGACGTAAGGAAAAATGACACAGAAATAGAATGAGAACATATTATTTTATTTTAGGATGTCTCCTATCAAATGAAATTATCAGAATGAATCTCTGACAAACCTGCCCAAAATAATGACTTCTCAAAAAAAAGTGCTCCTGTGGCTCAACTTGCCCCAGGTTAGGGGTAAGTTTAACCAAGTAAGTGGGTAAATTGAGCCATCTTGGGGTAAACTGACCCTCTAGGTTTTAAAATGTAAACATAAGCATATTGTGCTAACAAACAGTTTGAAAAGTTTTGAACTTCTGAGAACAAACCACCAGTTAGTTTCAAAACTATTTAATCAAAAGAACTATTCAATATTCCAACTGTCAAGGTTGCAGAGGAACATGAACTGTTGCTCCCTCCTTGCAGTCCCTCCAACCTTTTGAGGTTGAGGTAGCTTCTTCAGCACATCACTCCGTGGGAAAGATGCCTCATCATTTTCCTTGAATGCAAAGGTGGGTTTCTTACTGCCAGTGATCCCTCGGATTCTTCTCAGAAATCTGGCACTCACTTCGTTGCCTGCAAGGCTGTCAACCAAGCCAATGTAATGGTGGCTTCTGCATTTGGATGCAAATTTTACTATGACAAAGTCACCAACTACCAGATCTGAGACATCTGATTCACTTTCATCGCTGGAACTCTCGTGCTCAGAAGTGTCTTCAAATGGGATGGCAACATCACTCTCCTCAGAGCTGATATCTACTTCGATTTTCTTCTGGGTTTGTTTCCTCTTCAGCATTCCTTTCTCTTTTATGGTTCTCTCTGTTTTGCCTTTCTGTTTATTTTGCCTTTCTTTATGGGCACTTTCGATTGCCTGCTTTTCAGGTGTATCAGTCAGGATTCTTGTCTTCACATGCTTTCGGTTTGTTTGTTTCCGGGGGTTCTGACTTTTGGGTAAGGGTAGAATGTCATTAGGAGACACATATCCAGCATGGTTGGGGTGTGAAATTGTGTCACTTGGTGAAGCACATGCATGTGCAGGGCCTGGTGAAGGTAGCTCAGCAGAAAGGGAAGTTGAAACCACAGGTGCATCACCTGCAGCTGCAGGCTGCTGCTCCAGGTTCGGCCTGTCTGACACCATGGATGGCTCAAACTCTGCATCAGAGAAGATATCTCTGTTGTAAGGGAAAATTCCAGTGGATCTGAATCCAGAGGAGATATTTCGTGGTGCCATTGCTGACATGAAAGCTTCGCTCACACAGCCAGGGATTTGGTATATGCTGGCTGTTTTTCCTGGGTTGGACCTCATCCACCCATCGAGAGATCTGCTGTAATAGGTCTTAAATGGACCATACACGCACTTATCCAGAGGTTGCAGGCGATGGGATGTGTGAGGTGGAATTGTGAGCATAACAATACCACATGTTTTTGCTATCTCCAAAGCCTTCAGAGAAATGTGGGCTTCATGGTTATCCAAGATCAGCAGCAGTGGCAGGTCTTTGGAGCACTTGGTCTGCTGAACCAGATGTTCAAGGAACTCAACAAAGGTGTCTTCATTGATCCAGCCTGATCTGGTGGAGGTACCAATTGACCTGGTGGTGCACCTGTAACGAAGTGGTCTTTGTATCTAACCCTTGGGAAGATAAACATGGGTGGGACTGCATTACCAGTTGCATTGACTGCACAGACCACAGTCACCAGTTCGCCTCTTTCTGCAGAAGTGATTGCGCCCACTTGTTTCTTTCCTTTTTCTGTCACAACCTGCTTTGGTGTCTGTACTGTTGTTACTCCTGTTTCGCCAACATTATATATCATGTTTGGAGGGAATTTATGCCTGTAAAACAAAGAAAAGAGCAATGATGATAATCAGAATAGTTAAACCTTAAGTAATGGAAAGTGTTTGTAAAAATGGGCTATACCAGGCTACTGTATATGCATTGCCATCAGTTTGTTGTTAATTTACTGTTGCATGTAGTTGTCATAAATAGTTATTAATGTTTTCAAATACTTATATTCTGTTACCTGTCCATCAACTTAGCCAGATTGTCGAAGAACTCTCCAACTGTTGTTCTATTAAAGGCCGTAGCCCTTCCCAAAGATGTTGCTTCGGGCATACGGAAGGAGAGATGGTGGCGTGCCATAAAATTCCTGAACCAATCGTTACCTAAAAAGGAAATGGTACTATATTGAACTACACAAGATAAATTGGTCTATGCCAACCTACTGAGTTTTGTTGTTTCTTGCACTTCCTACCGGCTAAACCTTTCTCTCTCCAGTTGCTGGGGGTAGGAATGTTGTTTCTGATTGCCAATTCTAATGACAGTTCCCTGCATTTCTTTGGTGTAAGGCCATGGAACTGGTCTGCGAGCTGCTTGATATGGTCTGCTAGCTCCTTCTCCGTCTCCTCTGAAAAGACTCTCCTTGCTTCTGCTGTTCCACTGTACCCTGCTGCTTTTACTTCCTTTACCTCCCTCTTCTTTATGTATCTCCTCAATGTTGACCTGTCAATATTTCTCTCTTTTGCCACTGATCTGATGGACTCTCCAGCCTTGACATCATTGGCTGCTCTTTCCAGTGCTTCAAGGGGTGTTGAGCCCCAGTTTTTTTTTCTCTTGTAGGTTCTTGGCATGATCCCTGTTCTACAATGGGAAACATTTGACAAATCAGTTGAGTATACTCAAAGAAATACTATTTTATACGTCTGAGAGTGCTTGCCTTGTGGTGGGGTAAGTTGAACCATTTGCTCAATTTACCCCATAGCCTTTGGCTCACTTTGCCCCATAGCCACCATTTTGGAAAAAATGTGCTAGCTTAGAAATTCAGGCTAATCTTTAGTGAATTGATTCACATGATTTTATACATAAGAAAATCACCAACAAGTATAATATATAATTTTAGACCCAGATAAATTTGCTTTGATATAACAGTCATTTTACCTGATATGCTGTAAATTTACTTAAACAAGCAAAAAACAGTTTCTTGTGTAAAAAAGTACTTACCCCTTCTCCCATGTGCTTGTCTTTGGCCGTTTCTCAATATGCGTTCTTGAGCGTTCTCGTGTGCTCGTGTACTCGTGATACGTCATCAGCCTCAGCCCGAGTACCGTTCCAATTCTCAAGAACGCCAGATTGAGAACGCATAAAATCCCCGGATGTTGTTCTCACCCCGCCCTCTTTATCGAGCATGCATCAGAGCAGACTTGTGCGTTCTTCAGACTGACCGCTTTCCCAGAATGCCCCGCGGCCGCAGCTTGATTCCAGACAGCGCTCACAGTGTTAGGTTAAACATTCCCTTTTCTGCTGCTGTTGTTCTTCAAAAGTACGTTTTGAAATCGTTTGAGGCGATAACATTATACATTTAAGCCTCCCTGTGTGGTCTGTTTACAGAGTTAGTGCGAAATTAAAAAAAAAAGTCCGACATTGAGCGGACCAGAGTGACCAGCAGACCTCCGAAGGTAACCGCAGCCAGGGCTAAATTTACCCCGTCTGTAGTGCACTTATCTCGGTCTAGTTATGTGTGAACTACCGCTCGTTCTGATGGCGTTTTTTTGCGGTTCGGTAATTTTTTTTAATGTTTTTTAAGCTTTAGAAATTAAAAACATTGTTTTCAACATGTTTTGTGTAGGGAATAAATAGTTTTGACTGTTAAAGAAATGCTAAACAACGTTGCATGTGATGACGTCACGAGTACACTTCTGCTCCAATACACATACGTGCTTGCGTGCTCGCGTTCTCGTCAAGTCCGCTCTTCCTGCGTTCTCGCCAAGAACGGACTTGACGAGAACGCGAGTACGTACTCGTGTTCTCGTGAATTGAGAAACGCCCTTAATCACAGCAAGATGGAAATGACTGGTGCTTCCTGAATTTATGGTCACATGACAAAACATGTGAACGGTTATCTAGATACAAGGGGTGGGTCAACTTACCCACTGGCTCATCTTACCCCACTCTCCCCTACTTATTATTTTCTATTTAATTTTTATCCCATTGGTGCTGCTTATTTAATTACTAACTATATTTATGTTTGTAAGCTACTTATGTTTAACCATGTGACCTACTTTACTTTTAAGCCTAACTTGTTGTATATACTTTCAAAGTTTTGTTCTTTTTTATAACTTTACCATATTGAGCGGCAGCCTGAATGTAGGCTTGTATGTATATGTCTGTGTAAGTTGCAAAAATTGTGTTTTTAAGGACAGTTTGAAAGTCCGTATATTGGTAAAGGATGTCATTTCAAACAGCAGTGTAGGTATTCCTCTATACAGAAACTAACAGCATAATTTCTTCACACAAAGGGACATAATGGAAGATAAACTGAGTGAAAATTGTTTTTTTTTTTTTTTTTACACATCAACAAAGTTCTTTGTTCTGACAATAGCCTCAGTCCTGTAAAGCGTGGGGAATACCAGCATTGCACAAATATCTTCAGAAATACTTGGCCTTGCTTCACAGAACTGTTATTCATGCTCCTCTGTCTGCTTGATCTGTTGTTGCTGCACTTTCTTCTCCAATTTTCCCCAGAGGTGCTTTGTTGGAGTCAAATGAGGGAACATACTTGGCCAGGACATGCATTTAACTTTTTCTTCTTTAGGATTTCTTTTGCGATTTTGGCAATGTGCTTTAGTTGTTATCATGGTGTATTTTTCATCTTCTGATAAGGTCTCCATCAATATTTGGATGCTCATGGTGTCATGTGTCAGTTTCATCTCAATCAAGAGCTTTTCACTTAATTGAAAACAGATTTCTGAGTAAAATAAACTACATTAATGTTACTTTAGAAAGATTAGGACTTACTCTATAGGTGTTTTAATCAAATATTAAAGTGGTGGGTAGAAAAACAGAACAGACTACAAGTTTTAAACTTTCCTTTTTCACAAATCTCGACATCTGGTCGGATCATCTGGTTAGATCATAGTTTAACAAAGTGAAGTTTTGTACAGAGATCCAGTCTCAGGAATCTGTGCCTTCAGGACACTGCAGCTGAAATATTCACTATCCTCACTACTTTTTTTATTTACTTTAACAAAACAAAAGACTAATGATTTCCTCATTAGAAAACACAAGGCCGAACACTAAACACCTTGAAAACATATCTACTTCTTATTTATTAAGTACTTCTTTGCCAGGATGATTCACATAGTTACTCGAAAAAGTCCTTCCTGCTCTTGATGTGCTCATTTTCTTCCATTCCCATGAATTCTGATAAATGCATTGAGAAGTTGGCCAACAACCTGGTCTGACAAATTGAATAACTTCTTCATTCTAAAGAAAAAACAATTTCATCTTTAGTTCTTTTTATTTAGTTTTGTTGTAAACTTTGATTGTGGAATTAATTAGCTTAAAAAAATGGATTCCTTATATACAGGTGCTGGTCATAAAATTAGAATATCATGAAAAAGTAGATTGATTTCAGTAATTCCATTTAAAAAGTGAAACTTGTATATTATATTCATACATTACATACAAACTCATATATTTCAGATGTTTATTTTGTTTAATTTTGATGATTACAAATGACAACAAATGAAAATCTCAAATTCATCATATCAGAAAATTAGAATATTACTGAAGACCAATAAAAACAAAGGATTTATAGAAATGTTGGCCAACTGAAAAGTATGAACATGAAAAGTATGAGCATGTACAGCACTCAGTATTTAGTTGGGCCTCCTTTGGCCTGTATTACTGCAGCAATGCGGCGTGGCATGGAGTCGATCAGTCTGTGGCACTGCTCAGGTGTTATGATAGCCCAGGTTGCTCTAATAGTGGCTTTTAGCTCTTCTGAATTGTTGGGTCTGGTGTATTGCATCTTCTTCTTCACAATACCCCATAGATTTTCTATGGGGTTAAGGTCAGGAGAGTTTGCTGGCCAATTAAGAACAGGGATACCATGGTCCTTCAACCAGGTACTGGTAGCTTTGGCACTGTGTGCAGGTGCCAAGTCCTGTTGGAAAATGAAATCTGCATCTCCAAAAAGTTGGTCAGCTGCAGGAAGCATGAAGTGCTCTAAAACTTCCTGGTATGTGGCTGCGTTGACCCTGGACCTCAGAAAACACAATGGACCAACACCAGCAGATGACATGGCACCCCAAACCATCACTGACTGTGGAAACTTTACACTGGACTTCAAGCAACGTGGATGAAGTGCCTCTCTTCTTTTCCTCCAGACTCTGGGACCTTGATTTCCAAAGGAAATGCAAAATTTACTTTCATCAGAGAACATGACTTTGGACCACTCACCAGCAGTCCAGTCCTGTTTCTCTTTAGCCCAGGCAAGACGCTTCTGACGCTGTCTGTGGTTCAAGAGTGGCTTGACACAAGGAATGCGACAGCAGAAACCCATGTCTTTCATACGTCTGTGTGTGGTGGTTCTTGAAGCACTCACTCCAGCTGCAGTCCACTCTTTGTGAATCTCCCCCACATTTTTGAAGGGGTTTTGTTTCACAATCCTCTCCAGGGTGCGGTTATCTCTCTTGCTTGTACACTTTTTTCGACCACATCTTTTCCTTCCCTTCGCCTCTCTATTAATGTGCTTGGACACTGAGCTCTGTGAACAGCCAGCCTCTTTAGCGATGACCTTTTGTGTCTTGCCCTCCTTGTGCAAGGTGTCGATGGTCGTCTTTTGGACAACTGTCAAGTCAGCAGTCTTCCCCATGATTGTGTAGCCTATAGAACTAGACTGAAAGACCATTTAAAGGCTTTTGCAGGTGGTTTGAGTTAATTAGCTGATTAGAGTGTGGCACCAGGGGCCATCAATTTTGAACCTTTTCACAATATTCTAATTTTCTGATATGATGAATTTGAGATTTTCATTTGTTGTCATTTGTAATCATCAAAATTAAACAAAATAAACATCTGAAATATATGAGTTTGTATGTAATGTATGAATATAATATACAAGTTTCACTTTTTAAATGGAATTACTGAAATCAATCTACTTTTTCATGATATTCTAATTTTATGACCAGCACCTGTAAATCCTAGAAAAAACAGTTTCATCTCCCGCTGGATGAAACAGTGGGTCTATTCTAAATAGCTAGCACCCCTATTATCCAAGGAAACTTTTAAATTACAACACAAAATATATGGTGTATTTCAGTGTAGAATCTGACTCAGTCCTGTATAAGTCATTAGATATTTGTACACTATTCATTGTTAAGTTACTGTCTGTAAAGCTTCATGTGTGCTAGTTACATTTTTTAAGTGGATCGGGTGAAAAAATTATCAAATGTCTTGAGTAAAACCTCAGATGGCAGTGTCAAGAACCAAAAACATTTATATATTAAATGCCCACTCCACTCCAATAAAGAGGATTGCCCAACGGTAAATTATTCTCAAACCATCCACTTATGCCTTGAGATGCTCTGGAGTGTGTTTTGCAGTATGTGATGCGTCTCTAAAAGAAACATTTATGAGATTATAAGGCATTGTGAGTCTGAGTTTCATCCCTAAATCTACTCTACATGGTTGAAGTCAAGGCTCTTTAAAGGCCTGTCAACTTCATGGAAAACACTGCAGGTAATCCTTTTTAATAATGGGAAATTAAAATTGAATAGAACCATCAACAAAC